ACCCAAACCATTCTGTGATTCTGTGATGATAAATGTGCAATAAAACTTCAGATGTAAGAGGAGTCTATTGACATTGCAGATTTATGGATGATTTGCTTGGAAAAATTATTTTGGTTTACTAAACTGTATCTGTATACGGTTATATGCTTATTCTTTTTTCTGAAGTACTCATCCTTATTTCTCACATATCAATGTAAATCTGTATAATACCAGTTAACGCAGTGAAATGTGAGCTCAAAACCAGTCCTTCAGCATTTGCATCTGCCCAAGCCTAGAAACAGTTTTTCAATGGACTTGGTCACTTTTCCACAACACTGGCTTTTTCAGAGACTTTTATCTTAAAATCTACCAAATTTCACAACAATCTAAAACTGTGAAGTACTGAAACAGAGCTGTTTCAGGAGAAATCAAGTCAGGAAACAGATTCTACTCAATGGTTTTTGTAACTGATTCTTCAAGGTCAAAAATCTTGCCTTTAGACTGGGCAAGGACATATGTGGGAGGTAGTTTTCATTAAGAAAATTAAGAAGCAAAAGAATAAGTTGATTAAAAATGTTTCCTGTTTATATAACATTTAGATATTATGCTTTTGATTATGCCAGCTCATACCAATTAGGCATTAGCTCTCTTAAACCTATAAATTATAGTCTCTACTTTTTAAGGCAAAAAATGGTTTTCCTCTCTCAGGCAGTCAGGATAAGTGATCAAAATCTGACAAAAATCTGTGAAGTAACAGTTTAAATTAATTTTAGTTCAGGAGAATCAACACAAGAAAATGAGATTTCAGGCTTTTGCATTTATAATATTTTTTTCTGGCATTTGCTGAAGTTTTCTCAAGATAGTAATTTCAGATTGAAAATGAATCTTTAATTAAAAAAGCTAAAATAGGACATTCTGACAATTTCAAAGCTTTCTTTCGGAACCTTTTCCAAATGAAGAAATTTAATTGAAGTTCCTTTTTTTTCCTGCATTTGCTTAAAATTTTTATACGAACCCCATCAGTTTTAGGGCCCACAGTTACGTTTGCTCTCACAATTGTTCCCATCATTATGTGCCAAAAGTGAGGTCTAAAGAACATGTGCATTTGGATCTCTCTTGAATATTCTAGCCATACTATTTTCTTATCCATGATATAGATGGTAGAAACTACCAAAATTAATATTCTTGTGGACTGCATGGACTTGATTTTTGCTGTTTTTCAACATTCTGATCTTGTGCTGTTCATTGCTTCCAATAGAGGTTGCAGATGTTTATCACACTGGAAAAATGAGTCCTACATGCAAAACTGCATCCATGAAAGATAACAAATTATTTATATGGAGAAAGAAAAGCAGTGGGGTGGGGAACTATAGGAAAAATAAAAGTAAAAATCTCACTTGCTGTGTAGAATTGCTGTTATACCTTACCATTTGCTACATCTGTAACCTATATTGTCAGAGCTTAGAATTTAAGGGTGTTTTTTACCTTCAGTTTGTGAACTTCTTGTCAAACATACAAATCAAGACTCCTGATGAAAAACAGGAAAACTCACCCAGCAACAATTTGTTAGAAAGGCTGTTCATGATCTTACTCACTGCATGAGAAACTTGCATGGACGTCCAGTACGTCCAAACTAGTCCAAAATGAAGTGTGTCATCCAACAAAAGAATATAGATTGTATTCTATGGCCATGTTATAGCTAAAAAAAATTGTGCTGTGTATATCTCATTATGGTCTTGCTCCAATCTGGAACTTGGATTTTGCGTATTTCAGAAACAGCCTTTGAGTTAGTATTGTTGAGGCAAACGGAGCCCAGCTAAGGCACTGACCTGGGGCTGAGGTGACCTGGACTCTGTGTCCTGTCCTTCAAAGACTCGCTGCATGGTGCCAGACCACTCATCCCCCACATCTTCAGCTTTGCGAGGGAAGGTTAAGCTTAGCTTCCATAGGTTCTGTACAGCGCCTGACTAGTAGCAATACTTGATTTCATAGAAATAATTGGTTCTTCCTGCTTGTGAAAGACCATTCAGCACTGCCTGAGTGGTGAGAGAAAACCGGTTGCAAAAACGTCACAGAAGCAGTACTGGGTGACTTGCTTGTTGGGCAACCTGAAGTGGGGAGGACGCAAAGCCGACACATAAACAAATAAACATTTCCAGTCAAATGAGAAGGCAGTGGGTCCAGTCAATCCAATACAAAGCTGTGCGCTAAGTGCTGTCAGTTGAGCTTAAATCGCATCTCTAATACTGTTGAGAGAGTAACACGAGCTGCATTTCATTATGTGCCTTTCTAATAATATCTTTTTTTCTTCCCCCTCCCCAGCCTGCGCCGGAGACAACTGGTGAGTTCTGTTTAGAGATCTATTTGTATGCACGAGAGGCAATCAACAAAACCAGCTGCTCGTAAACTTCGCTAGGACAGACACAGATTTATAATTACTGTTATTGTTATTGCATTAATTTTCACACTTCATAAAGATAACAGCAAGGGCTAATGTCCTACCTCACTTGTCTTTTTGTTTTTCAGAATTAGACGTAGATGGAGGAATTGATCAAGACATCTTTGACATCAATGAAGGTTTTTAAAATTCAGTTTCTCTTTTTTTTTTTTTTTATGATTTTCTTTATGGTAGCCACAGATCAATACAATAACTGAATGTTAATGTCCTCTTCCCTTTAGCTCTAGGACTAGACCTTTTTGAGGGAGACATCAAACTTGATGGGGTGAGTTCAAACATAAAATATAAACCCAAAAATGTGCCATTGACTTATGCAATGTAAAGTATCATTGACATGGAAATGATTGATACATCCTGCTCCTACTAACAATAAATGCTGTTTATGTAACAATAAACTGAAAATGTTCGAGTATAGATTTCTACCAAATGTCATAGACAAAAGAGTTGGGTGCATTTGCAAAAACATCATCCAGAATAAGGTCAGTTCAGCCATGAGATCAATATCATTAGCTTCTTGTTTCCTTTGTTGTAGTTTTTATATTTTTACTTTTAAGAGATTCAGCAGCACTGATCACATCCAGACAGGTTTATATAAAGATTCTTAATTTACCAGCACAATATTTATTATAAGCCAATTAAATGTACAGACCAGTGCTGCAAAACCTTCATCATTTAAGTAGATTCACTAAAACCAATGGAAAAATTAGATCTGTAATCCACATTTTAAAGCATCTGTCCAGTATCCCTATCTGGTCAATCAAAAAAAAAAAAAATTACATAGCAAGTTGCATCTCAAAATTACCTAGTAGAAACTCCTAAAGTGTCTTGTAGCCCTGCAAGTCAATAGTGTCTTACTCTCCCTTTTGGTGAACTGCTTTGGCCTGACCATATCAGTGGAAGCAAGGACAGCACTTGCTAAGAGCACAGGGACAAACCCTTGCATTATGAAAAATTGCAGAATTATTGATCTTTGTACAGTTTTCAGGACTTTAGATCTTAATGCTTCCCACAGGAGCTGAAGATCCCCTCACACATGCATCAAAATCTCAGGTTATTTGTATGGAGAAAATGATGCAGAAGTTGGAGACACTGGTAGAAGGGAGTGAAGTGATTTCAAACCCAAGCCTTAGACCTCTGAGTGATCTTGCAAAGTTTTTGAGGTCTTTGATTTTTTATATGTCTTACATGGACTTGTAGGAAACATGCTTTGCTTTAGCACTGTTGTAGGCCCTGATCCTAAGTCACTTTTTACTGAGCAGTTCATACTTATTTTCTTTCTCCGATGCAGGAACGAAACTCCATCATTGGTGATAAATATCGGTGGCCCCACGTTATCCCCTATGTCCTTGATGATAGCCTAGGTACAGTATATGCCCTTCACAATGTCTGTATGTCATGTTGATTGAAATGTTTTATACAGGTTGGTAAAGATACTGTGGCATCCCTTCCTCCTGTAAGTCTTGAGCAGGCTGTTTCCCACAGCGGGATTGGGGCTGGGTATGCGCAAGCAGGGTATATCATCTGGGTGTTGGTGCTGGCTCTCACCTCCTTTCTTGGATGCTTCTTATCCTGCCATTGCTGTGGCCCAGCAGACTGATTTGAGTTTAAAAGCATACGTCTGAGACATGAAATTCTGCTAAGCAGAAGAAAAAAACAGGGCACTGAAGAACTTTTTAAAGCCAGGAAGCTGGCCGTTTACATCATCTATAGCACCGATGGCAAATCAGCATTCTGGTAGGCAATGAGGTTTGCAATGGCACATTGCTGAGTCCCCTGTTGTAGGGCCAGGGACATGTCACAGCTTTTCTCCATCCCTTCAGATCCACCTGGCTGTGGCTCTGCATGGCAGAGGCAAACGGTGAGACAGGGACCTTGAGTTCTTACTGTGTACCTACCACACGGCAAGACTGTGCCCCACTACACAACATAGGGTCTTCGTTCTGGTACATGGCAGGAAAAAAAAAAACCAGCCATCCCCAGTTTAGATTCGGATCCAAACTGGGTTGAAAGCACGCTTCGAGGGGACAACCTAGATAAAATGTTAGCAGTTCAAGTCCTTGAGAGGTTCTGAGAGAGATCTGCAGCCTGCAGTCTGCACTAGGTGAAATAGGATGTCTTTGTTCCCTGTTTATTTAATGCTTGCTCACATAAATCTCAGCAAAGTATATGAATGAACTTACAGAATTAAGAACCATGCGCTAGCATGTATTATATACACATCATATCATATTTTATACATAAGCACCAAAGAAAAATTATGCAAAACAAGAGGACAATAAAATGTCACAACTGCCTTAACTTACAGGGTTTAGGTCCCTACCCAGGTCTTAAAGCAGCAAAAATCCTGCTTATTTTAATCTAAGATTGCTGGAGCAAGACCTACCCTTAGGACTTGCTCTATACAGTTAATTGTACAAACCTATTGGCTCAGTATTGACAAGAACACTGTTTGCTTTGCAGAAATGAATGCTAAGGGACTCATCCTCAAGGCATTTGAACGGTATCGACTAAAAACCTGTATTGACTTCAAACCTTGGGAAGGGGAGAAGAATTACATATCTGTGTTCAAAGGAAGTGGGTAAGAGGAGTAATGTAAAATAACTCTCATCCTGTTTGTCTACAGGCTATTTTCACGGCCAGTATTCACTCTAAAACTCATATATCTGATTATAATTTCATATTTTTGTTGTGTCTGTTTTTCCAGTCTATTTTTAACTGGAAATTGTGATATTTTCCAAAATAGGTATTACCTCGGTAGTAAGGAACAATTTCTTGCTGATACTTTTTTTTTTAAAAATATAAGATGTAAACAAGTCCTTTAAGAGGCAGTTTTCCGGGCATGGTAAAAGATATCAGAAACAAGACAATTATCTTTTAGATTGATCTTTGGTTATATGGACTGTCATTTTCAAATGGTCATTCTTAGTATACCTTAGTTTTTAGGGGAAAAAAAAAAAATCCCAGCAGAAATATGACAGTTCTAACTGTGGGACAACGAATTTGTCTGACTGTAACAAATGAAATTGCATTTGAACATCACACCAGCATTCAGATATAACAGTGATATTTTTAAATGCTGCACAGCACTGAGATATTTTACAGAGGTTTCAGTTTATTTACCTCTTTTGATGAATAATTACGCTATTCCACCTTAAATTTTGCAAAATAAGATTCCAGTAAAGAAGTCAAAATTGCCTCAGCTGCTTCCCTTTCTAAGACACTCTGTCAAAACACTGCAACAAGAACAAATATATTCTCCACTCTATGCTGAACCATTTTTCTGTTAGAAAAGATCAGGGAAAGCTTGATAGTCTGGTGAGGAAATTTACTTTCAGAAAATCATTTCCTGATATGAGAATGCATTCATAAATGGGAAAAGATTTTCTGATAATAGAAATGTTTCTCTTTCC